CTTGCCCCCTTCCCACCCCCAGAATCTTCTCTGAGGCCTTCCTGCTGGGAGGAAATCCAACCTTCCCAGCACATTTGAGAACACAGGGAAGACCCAGTGCTCAGCTGGGTTGAGTGTCACAAATGGAAATAATCCCCAGGTTTGGGGCCTGTGGGGCTCTCTGTGTGGTACTGACAGACCCAAGACCAGGACACAGCAGAGACCAATGCTGGGGTGAGAGGGTTGTCTTCCCAGGGAAAGGGGTTTCCATCAGCCTTGCTCTTGAAAGTGTGCTTCAATGCTCTTGTAATTTTTTGAATATATTTTTATTGATTTCAGAGAGGAAGAGAGAAGGAGAAACATTAATGATGAGAGAGAATCATTGATTGGCTGACTCCTATACAACCCCACTGAGGGTCAAGCCTGCAACCTAGACATGTGCCCTGATTGGGAATCAAACTGTGACCTCTTGGTTCATAGTTGGATGCTCAACCACTGAGCAACACCAGCCAAGCTCTTATAATTTTTTAACGAAAAATTGAGATATTTATCAGAAATGTCAAATGTAACATTCTGTTGTATTTATTAATAAACACTGGAGCCCTGGCCATTGTTGCTAAGTGGTTAGAGCATTAGCATGTGCACCAAAAGGTCGAGGATTCTATTCCCAGTCAAGGGCACCTACCTGGGTTGCAGGTTCAATCTGTTGACGTAAAAAAAAATTTTTTTGAAAAAAATAAAAATTCAAACCTGTAGCCGAAACCGGTTTGTTTGGCTCAATGGATAGAGCGTCGGCCTGTGGACTGAACGGTCCCAGGTTCGATTCTGGTCAAGGGCATGTACCTGGGTTAAGGGCGCATCCCCAGTAGGAGATGTGCAGGAGGCAGCTGATTGATGTTTCTCTCTCATCGATGTTTCTGGCTCTCTATCTCTCTCCCTTCCTCTCTGTAAAAAAACAATAAAATATATTTTTTTAAAAAATTCAAACCTGTAAATAATTCTTGTGAGTTTAAGTTTATTTGAGCCAAACTGTTGACAATTGCTTGGAAGAAAAACCTCAAGTATTGGGATAATGCTCTGGAGAATGGCGGGTTTTCACCTTGTTTTTATAAACAAAGGAGGAGACATAAGTGGGTTACATGAAATCCACTGGTGATAGATTAGGGAGGTGGGAGAAAGCAAAGCAAGGAACCCTCTGGGGTTGGATAAAAAGTGAAATGATGAACACATGCTTATTTTACATAGGTGGATACAGGATAGTTAACAGTCAACAATAACATGATAACAAGAACAATGAGGGAATTTGTGGTCCCCACCCTGATGTCATTCGTAGCAACCTGAGGGGTCC